GGCTTTCCAGTCAGTGGGCAGCGGCTTCTGCATGACTGAATGTTGCACAAGCCTCATTGATCTGGGACTCCTTGGAGCTTCAGAAGGAAGGGAAGGGCGGGGGCAGTCACTGTCTAGGCTGAGCAGAGTTCTCAGGCCTCCAGCAGCTGCCTCGCTGGTGAGGATGCTGGAATGCAGATTTCCAGGCCCACTCAAAATGCCCTGAATCTGAGAAGAGATTCTTTGAAGTCTAACTGGAAGGGTCAGCATTAGGATCTGGTTGGTGGAGCACATACTTTGCCACTTGAGGAAACCCAGAAAACACCCAGTGTCGGGTCCATTCTGACTCACAGTTATACTGGATAGGACAGACGACAACAGCAGTCCCTGAGCAATTTTGAGGCTGTAAATCTTTACCGGAGCACGTGGTCTCATTTTTCACCCACAGTGCAGCAGCTGAGTTTGAACTGCTGACCTTGAGTCTAGTAGTCCAACTTGTAGCCCACTCTATCACCAGAGTTCCCCTGAGCATTTGTCTAAACCAAAACAAAACTCACTGCCATCAAGTTGATTCTGACTCACCATGACCCTGCGGGGCAGGGTAGAAGTGCCCCTGTGGGCTTCCGAGACCGTAACTGTTTTCTGGTATGAAAGCCTCCTCTTTCTCCTCAGGAGTAGCTGGTGGTTTGGCATTGCTGGCCTTGCAGCTAGCAGCCAAGTGCACGACCAGTACCCCACCAGAGGCCCTTGGGGCCTGACTACAGTCCAAATAAGAGCCTGGTGTTGCACTGGATGAATAACCACAAGGTCTGTCATTTGAACCCATCTGCAGTGACACCCTGCTTCCTTAAAGAGGGCAGTTTTGCAAGTGATGGGCCACTTCTATGTCCCCCAGGGTCACTGTGTGGTAGAACCCACTCAGTGGAAGTGGATTCGGGTGACTGGAAAAGGAGCGTGGGTGTTGTAGACACTCTCCCTAACCCTAACCCTAACCCTAACTGGTTTGAAGCTACACAACAGCTCCATACAGGAAATGGCCTAGTCACCTGCTTCCATGATGGTGACAGCCGGGAGAACCCTCGGGAGCAGTTCTTCTCTGACAGGAGTGGGAATGAACTCACCTGGCACTTGATTGTTATTGCCATTGAGGCAGTTCAGAATCACTGCAGCACACACACACACACACACACACACACACACACACACCCCGCCCTCACCGGTGTTACCAGATTGCTCCACAAGGTCTTCCTGGCTGTAATCTCTATGGACACAGATCACAAGGTGGGCATACCCCCCTGCCTGCTCCTCTCCTCCCCAGCTGCCTTGAAGCCTTGGTAAAGGTGGAGTGATCCCGGGGCTGACTGGGCTGCTGCAGGGACAGGGAACAATGTTGAACACAACAGCTCTATGGACAACTCAGGAGATGAAGCTTTCTACTCCTGAAAAGATTTACAGTCTTGGAAACTCACAAGGGCCATGCTACCCTGTCCTGTAGGTTTGTTATGAGTCGGAAATGACTTCATAGCAGTGAGTCTGCTTTCTGGAAGGGGCAACTGGTTTCCAAAGCTGATTGAGCATGGAAATCACCTGGTGAACTTCAGAAAGGAAGGAACTCAGGGCCCATCCCCAGAGACTCGAAATTAAGTGTCTTTGGTATGGCCAATCTATTAAGAACTTAGAAAACTCCACCCTGACAACGAGAATATGCAACCAAATTTGGTAACTTTAACCTCTGCATGTCCTGCTCAGAACATCTGTTGGGAGGAAGAAAAAAAAAGGGTGCTAAGCAGTTTCCTGGATGGTTCCAGGCTATCTGTCTGGGGCTCAGGGTAGGTTTTGCCCCTCGTCTGGGCTCATCAAAACCTAAACTGTCAAAGTCTGGGCCCAGATTTATTGACCTGTTCATACTGTACGTATCAGGGAATTCCCTTCTGCCAATCTGCAGCATCAAATCTGGGCTGGGTCCAAGTTACTGGGGTCATACTGCTGAAGGAAAGAGAGCTTACAGCCAACCCTCAGGGAGCTTACATTTCACTGTCATTTTTACTGCTCAGTTCAGCCAATGACCTGTTGGGTCTTGTTGTTGGTATGTGCCATTGAATCGGCTTTGGGGTTGATTCGGACTCTTAGAGACCCCACATGTGCAAGTCGCTTCCCAAGTGGTGACCTTCAGATGGAGGTCACCAGGCTTGTTTTCTGGGGCACTTCTGAGTGGGTGCTGTTCTAGGGATCAAAGAGACCCCCAATTCAAACATAATTTAGTGACACCCATTTATAAAGTCGCAAACAGGACAAAGACAAGTCATCCAAATCGGGGAGGATTCACCGCCACATGGAGAACAAGGACACCATCTTTAATCATGATTGGTGGCAGGTCAGTTCATCAGAGTTGGAGGTGGGACTCCGGGTGTGGGAAAGGCACCATGATTAGGACACGCACACAGTTATAAATTGGAGAAGCTTACAAGATGGATTCAGGGCCCTCAAATGGCCTTGGTCTGAGGATGACTCAGGACCATGTGGCCCTAGCATCCCAGGGTCCTTCCAGGGCACACCAAGCCAAGTTCCTGGAGGCAAAGCTGGCCAAGTGAGTCACTCTGCCAGACCAAACCTCTTTTACATTGCTGGTCCATGGTCTGAAAGAATTCAGTGGAGGCTGAATCTATGTGGAGACTCAAAAAGGACATATGGCTCCCCCTGTACCATAGCCTTCTCCAAGTCTAGTGCTCTAATAGAGGTCAAACCACCCACCTTAAGGCTAGTAACTGATCGCCATCAAGTTGATTCAGACTCATGCTGATTCTCTGTAGAGTTTCCACAGCTACGAATCTTCTTGGGGGCAGTTAAGCTCACTGTTCTCTTGCAGAGCAGCTCCTACGTTTAACCCAGTGACCTAGTAGTTATCACCGCAATGCCGACCTACCAGTGCCATGAGAGGCTTGCACCGTCACCATTTGAACAACCTGAACCACATGTGTATCTCTTCCCTCTCCTGCACGCACACACACACACAACCCACACAAGGCACAGAGGACGGCTTTCAGCCTCATGCGTATCTCCCTCTCATCCCCGACTGCAGTGACTAGAGGCTTTTTTTTAAGTTCAGTGGAATTCCCAGGGATCTTCACATGAACCCAGATAAAAAGTGCAATGCTGTGTATGAGCACAAGGGGCCCTGGTGGTGGGATGGGTTAGGTGTAGGACTGTTAACCACAGGCCAGCAGGTAGAATCCACCAATCCCTCCACGGGAGAAAGAGGACACTTTCTGCCCCTTTAAAGTTGTACAGCATCAGAAACCCTGTGGGGCAGTTATGCAATGGCAGTTACGTTTTAGAGAGTTGAATGTATATGTGCATGAAAGTGGTCAGGTACATAGTCGTTCAAGTTGGGCTGCCATGGCAAGGTCAGCAGTTCGAAACCAACTGCCTGGAGAAAGATGGGGCTCTCTCCTCCCATAAAGAGTTCCAGTCTTAGGAACCCACAGGGGCAGTTTTACCCTGTCTTAGAGGGTCACGAGGAGTCAGAATCAACTCAATGGCAGTGGTTTTTTTGTTGTTGTTTTTAGGTCTTTTGTTTGTTTGTTTGACAGTAGGTTATGTGTTGGGCTGCTAACCACCACATCAGCAGTTCAAATGCACCAGCCATTCCTCAGGAGCAAGAAGAGGCTTTCTACTGCCATAAGGAGACACAGCCTTGGAAAAACACAGGGGAATTCTATCCTGTCCTGTAGGGTTGCCATGAGTCGGGATGGACCCAATGGCAGGGCATTTGAGTTGTGATTCCAAACAGGGTGGCAGGCAGAGTTGAAACTGACCAAGGGCATCTGGTAGCTCCCTACCTTCCCACCCCCTCCCTTTAGGCCCCATTTCACATCTTCCTTCCTTTCTCCAAAACCTTTCTGCTCTACCAGGGAAGAGTGCAGGGCTGAGCCCTCCGGACCAGAAGTGGCCCTCAGGGTAGTGGGACGTCCATTGGAATGCAAATGTGTCGGTGCAAATGTGTCCAGATTCCAGGAAAGTGCTCGCCCCTCCAGCCCGCTGCCCGGCTCCACCCTGGCCCTTGCTGGCTTTTGTGTCCGGTAAATAAAAGGGAGGCGACCTGCTGGTCTCTTTGGAGGAGTCGCCGCTGCTGGGGACCTTTCGAAGCCTGAGGGTGGGAGGGAGGGAGCTTTGGGAGCTGAGTTCTGAAATCCAGAAAAGGGCTGCTTATCTTTTACTCGTTTTTGCCGAGGCTTCTAGGGGTTTATTTTTTTTTAACATCCTGCTAGAGCAAGGGGATTGATGGTGATTTCATGGTCTTTGTGGGCCTCCCTCCCCTGTCCTTTTAACCAGTCTTTTCCGCCCGAACAGCCGCTGCCGAAAGCTCTAAGTAAGTGTGTTTATTCTAGACCTTGTCCAAAGCCATGCGCCACAGGCCGGTCCCAGAGGCTAAAAGACACCCAGAGCTGGGGGAGGTGGGCGGGAGCGCGTGAGTTTCACCAGGAAACTAACAGACCGATTGCCTCCAGGCAGACCCCGTGGTTCCAGCTGATGGTCCCCAAACGTCCCAGCCTGACTCCTGCGGGCGCCCAGCCGCCTCCAGCCGGGAGGGTCCCCGGGCCGGGCCGGGCCGGGCGCGGGCGGGATCCTCGGTGGCGTCCAGCT